GCAGCTCAATTACATCGCCATCATGTATTTTAGCACCAGATGGCGCAATGTTATTGTTGTTTAGCTGTTTGTAGACATAAGGATTAATTTGAAAAACCGATTCAAGCAGTTCCTCATCGGCCTCGCCGAATATGTTTTCAATCTCTTTGGTTGCCTGTGAGAGTAACTCCTGCTTCACCTCTGGCAGCTTTGGCAAATGTATTGGGCGATTTGTAGTTGCATTTGAGGTGCATTCATCAGTAGAGCTTTCAACGTTGCTAGCCTTTGGGTTTTGCAATTTAGAGGTGTCCACTTTATTATTGTTGACAATTTTTGGGACGATTCTGGGCGGTGTCGGATGAGAGTCTTCGTCATCTGATATGATGACAATATCTGCAGCATTGGGACACATTTGTTTTAAATGAAATATGGCATAGTTCGGGGGAACCACATCTTCCAAGGACTCAAGTTGTACCCCAAGTCCGATTCTATCGCCGGATATAAGCGATTTAATCTTGACTTCGAGCTTGATTTCATTTATAAAGATGCCATTTAACGCATGCTTGCAATGATCAATATGAAATAATAATTACAAATAGTTTATACTTGTACATAAAATAGACAACTTACCACCTGCTCCACACTCACGATATTTTCACAATTTATAATAAATTTCGCATGCTTCCGAGACACAAAATCATAATCCTTTAACACAATCTTGCAACACGAGTGCCTGCCTACTAAATTGTCGCCAGCCTGCAGAATTAATTTTTTGCCGGTGCTTACGTGTTCCAAGTACCAATAACTGCATTGCGCAGCCATTGTGGAAGTGCATTGAAGAGAATTCTGAATCAGAAGCTCTAATATATGCGAAACTGCAATGCAAAAACTTCTGCGCTCAACAATATGAAAAATGATATTGTAAGTGTGACCATATGCCACACGAAATAAAATGCTATGAGCTTCGATTGTCTGTGGACTTAAGATATCGAAAAAATACCATCAATTGCATAAAATACTAATAGTGCCTTTGTGAATCTTAGTGGCAGCACTATCATATGGGAAATCAGCTGCCTTGCACTTTTGGCGCGTTGCATTTGACTAATGTTTTTTTTTGTACAATGTCCAAAAGGAAATTTAAAAACAAAGGCTCAACACCAGAACATAATGTGCCGATCAAACGAATTTGTGTCGACCAAAATAGAGCCGAACAAAGCATGGAAATGAGTGAGAGTATATTTTGGCCGGACAATGATGCCAGCTTCTTTTCAAATGCCAAGTTGGAGGATTTGTTTAGTGGACAAAATAATGTAGTATCTGCACCTTTCAGTAGTCAGACCAGCAATAAATTTCATCAGAGCCAGTCGGATGACAGTCTCTTTGGTGATATTTCAATGCCCAGCTCAGGCGAAACAGCGGCGATGGTGGCGAAGACTGAAGAGAAGAATAGCATAAAAGACCAGAGCTTCAAAGAGATCAATCTCAATGACTTGACAGTTACTGAAATGGAGGATATTTTCCATGGTGGTGATGATTATAGCGATCCTCTTGTACAAAATACGCAACTTTTTATGGACGCAGTGGCTTTTAAAGTGCCCAAATCCCCAGAAAGACCACCAATGCCCGCTACTCAAACCAAAGAGGACTCAATGTCAATGTCTTTCATATCTAAGTCCATTCTGGAAGGTATTGTGCAGGGCACACAGTATGCAACATATGAAGCGCTACAGAACCGTTCCATGCTACAGGCACAGCATGAACTTGCAGCGCTCGATCAGTTGGACTGGCAGACGCAGGCGTTCTCCGAATTCGAAACCTCTAAGGAAGTGCACAACAATAGCTTTCCCAGTAAAGGCGATTTTTATGGCCTGCCGGATAAGGTGAAGAAACTAATATTCGAACACAAGGGCATCAAAAGTTTATATGGTGAGTAAGTTGTTCATGGCATACTACAGCTAATACTAAAATTCTTTCAGAATGGCAGGATGAGTGCTTGAACCTGCCTGCCATACACAAGCGTAAAAATCTTATTTATGCTTTGCCCACTAGCGGGGGCAAGACTTTGGTCGCCGAAATCCTAATGCTGCGCGAGCTGCTTTGCCGGGAACGCAATGTCCTCTTCATATTGCCATATGTGTCCATCGTGCAGGAGAAGGTGAGCGCAATGTCACCTTTTGCCATTGCACTCGATTTCATTGTCGATGAGTATACGGCGGGCAAGGGCAAATGCCCGCCACAGCCGCAACGCAAGCGACGTAGCCTGTTTGTAGCATCTATTGAGAAGGGCGCCGTGCTTATGGACAGTCTGATTGATGCGCAAAGGGCACATGAAATCGGCATGGTAGTTGTTGATGAGCTGCATTTGATTGGTGAACGCGGACGCGGTGCGACACTAGAGGCTTTCTTAACCAAGGTCATGTTTTTGAAAGGTATTCACATGTTTATCCACTTAGATAAATATTCCAGGACTAATTGTACTACTTTGTTCCGATTTTAGCAAACATTCAAATTGTGGGCATGAGCGCCACCATTGGCAATCTGAATGAAATCTCATCTTTTCTCAATGCGGATGTGTATACGCGTGGCTTTCGTCCGGTGGAGCTTAAGGAATTTATTAAATGTGGAAATGATTTGCTGGAAATCAACTCAGCTGGACAAACGCTTGAGGAGATTTTTGTGCCTAGTCGCACGGTTAACTACAATGTAGGAATGTGGCTTATATCTTATATCTATCAATATTTTGTAGTTTTACTCTTTTACAGTACAGCGCTGCTGTGGAGCGTGCCGATCCAGATCATTTGGCGGGCTTGATAACCGAATGTGCCCCGGAGCATTGCTGTCTAGTATTTTGCCCCACACGCAAGAACTGTGAGAATGTAGCGCTGCTACTAAGCCGCATTGTGCCCAAACAAAAGTTCTTTGAGCATAGGCAGAGCGAAAAAGCTGATCTCATGAACGCTCTCGACAAAATGTGTGGCATCCTAAGTCCGGTGCTGGCCAAAACATTGCCGTATGGCATTGCCTATCATCATTCTGGCCTCACCACGGACGAGCGCAAATATATTGAAACTGCCTATCGCTTTGGCGTCATCACAGTCATTTGCTGCACCTCCACGCTGGCTGCGGGCGTCAATCTGCCTGCCAAGCGTGTGATTATACGTGCGCCCTATGTCGGTCAAGAGTTTATGACGTTGTGCAAGTACAAGCAAATGGTTGGACGGGCTGGTCGTGCTGGTCTTGGCGAGGCTGGCGAAAGTATTCTTATTACCCAGAGCAAGGACAATGCTCTGGTTGGCCAGATGCTCTTCTCTCCCATGGACAAGGCTCTAAGTTCGCTGGATCAGTTCGAAGCTGTTGGCTTGCAGGTTAGTCTATGCAATCGTTTATTCGAATTCTTCTATTTAGCTAAACTTATTTCTAGTCTCTAATACTGAGCGTCATTGGCCTGAACCTTGCTGACTGCAGACGCGATCTCAATCGGCTAGTGAATAGCACTTTGCTAGCCGTGCAGGCTGCCGCCTTGGAGGTTGCTGTGGATGATTTGGTGCTGAGCATTCTGCGTGATATGTTTAAGAACAAAGTGCTGCAATTAAGAGAGAGTGCGCCCAAGAGCAAGCCCAACAGCTCGGATATAATGACCACGCAAGACATTAACCAGAGCGGACGCTCGGCGCCCGATCGTCGCTTGCTCATTAGTCAATCTACGCGCTTTCAGCTGACGAGCATTGGTCGCGCCGCCTTCAAGGCGGGCATAGACTACAAGCGTACCTTTGCCATACACAAGGAGCTGCAGCTGGCGCAACAGCAACTCATTCTCACCAGCTACGTGCATCTGCTGTATTTGGTTGTGTGCTTCAATTCTAACGAGCGTGGCGATGAGCTGATACCTGCCGATGCGTCCATACTCTTTCGCGAGTACAATTTGCTTCCTACCCAGACTCAGGCGCTCTTCAAGCAGCTGGGCTTTACAGAAGCGCATGCCGCCAAGCTAGCCAAGACGCAGTCCGTGCAGGGTCCATTGGCGCTGCAATTGAATCGCCTCTACAAAGTGCTCATTCTAGCTGATGTGCTCAACCTACATCCTCTGCCCAGCATCGCCAGCAAGTACAATGTAGAGCGCGGCACGCTGCAGCAGCTGATCAGCCAAAGCACCGCAGCAGCCAGTGCCATCGTTCGTCTGTGCGAGCAAATTGACGAGTTCTGGTGCTACAAGCCTCTGTTCGAGCGCATCAATCATAAAATGGATCGCTGTGGCACGCAGGAACTGGAACCGCTGCTCGAGCTGCCTGCTGTAAAGATTGTGAGTGCTTCAGGACATTTGGCCATATTATTTGTTATAACTATGCTGTATTTGTCAGAATCGCGCCAAGCAGCTTTATGCCGCTGGCTTTAGGACCATCGAGGATGTGGCCAAGACACGACCGTTCGAGCTAGTGAAAGCTGTGGAGTTCATGCCACTTAAGGTGGCCAACGAAATAATATCAGCTGCCAAGGCAAGTCCAATTATACCTACTTTATCCATAGCTAAATAATTTATTTCTGCGCAGATAATTCTTATGAAGAAGCTGGACCATTTGGAGGAGGCAACGGAGGCTCTGAAGAGCTGCCTCTGCACGAGCGAAGCGCAATCAAGTTCAATGTAAATAAGATTTCGGAACTGATTTAGTTTTTAGTTGTTTTGTTTCATATCTTTAATTTTGTTTAAGCACTCGACTTGAGCCTAGAATACAGCTTAAATATTAACACGCACACAAAATGTTGTCTTGCATACTAAATTTAAATTAATTTGTTTTAATTTTCTTGTCCGAGTATTTAGCTAAGCGCAGAGGCTGTTCACGTTGATTGTTGATGTTTGTTGTTTATAAAGTTGAATTGATTTCTTGTTTGTGTACTACATAAAAATTAGCAGACAAAATTTGAAGATTACCTTTTGTCTCGGCTACTATCACGACAATTGAGTATTATACAATGTATATATTATTAAATTTAGTGTTTTTGTTTTGTTTTTTGTAGTTGTTTGCTTCATGTAAAAAGTTAAGCGCAAATTGAGTTGATAAAATGATGCCTGCTTGAACTTTAACTAGAGAAAAAATATATTATAATTAGATAGTGTAAAAGATAGTGTAGAAAAGCAGTTGCCTGGGCAACCGATCTGCCTTCTAGTTGTTGAAAGTTATATACAGCTGAAGAAACTGAAAGTAGACACATATATATATAGAGATATATATTAGTTTGTATTCGCATGCGTAGCTCCACAATTTGATGTACCTTAATTTTTCACAGACTTGTAACCGCGACTCTAATATGCAAACTCGTCGTAGTAATGCTGGGCAAGTCGTGTGCCCACTTGGGTGCCACTGCTCACTGCTCCTCGGGCAGCGTATTCGTGTCTATGTGAACGCGCGTTCTGCGCCGGGACAATCGCTCGCCGGCGTATATCTGTCGATGAGAAATAGGAATCACTATGATAGTTCGGTGGCGATTGCGACTGTGACTGTGACGGTGACTGTGACTGTGACGATGACAGTGACTGAGGCTGAGGCTGAGACTGCGAAGCGGATGCAATGGATGATGACGGCGAATGATTCTGATAGATGGATGCCTGCTGATAGTTGCTGTTGCCACTGGCATGACCGGCAAATGGATTATACGACCCGCTACCATGTGCAGGTGCTGAATACGCACTGGCATAGGGCCGGCTCTGATAGTTGGCATGCTGATGCTGATGCTGTTGATGTGGATGCAGTGGCGTAAGCGGTTTAAGCGTGGGATCGAGCGCATCGTTCAGCGTCACATCGTAGTCGTTCTCATAGAGTTCGTCCAGATTGAGCTTGACCGGCTGTGGTGGCTCGGGGCGGCGCGGCGTTACCGGCGTGGGCAATGCACTGCGTGGCGGCAATGTGGTGCGCGGTGGGTTGGGCGACGGTGCCGGCAGCTCATCACTATCGCTGTCTGGCTGTTCGCCGCGCAGCAGTGGGGCTCCATGCTCCAGCAGGCGCACGCCCGATATGGTCGAGCCCATGTCAATGGGCGTGCTGTCTGTGGTGCGCGCCTCATTGGCTAGATGGGCCGTTCGCACTGCCACACCCACCGGCTGCAGGCCACGCGGCAAATAGGGGCTACCGCCACGCGACGGCAGGAAGGGTCGCTTGACCACACGTACCGAAGCGGGTCGCAGTGGTTTGGCTGGCGCTGCGGGCGCCAGTGGCTCATCAGGCTCCTCATTCTCCGCCTGCAATGGTTCCTCCTCGGCTAGCTCCTCTTCCACTGCTGGTGCTGCTGTTGTCGTGGAGGTGGGCAGCGCACGTTGTCGCGTGGCCAGCGCCAGTTTTTGATTGCGTCGCGCTGGAGTTAAGCTCGCCAAGGAGTTGGACTTGGTGCGCGCTGGAGGAACACGCTGCTGCTCCGATAGCTCCTCGCTGACGGGCTCCAGCAGCTCCTCCTCCTCTTCGTGGACAATGGGCTGGCGTGGACGCGCGACTGGCTTACGTGCTACTCCAGCCTTGGTACGCACGCGACCTCGTACAGGCACTGGTCGCTCCTCGTAGTCTACATCATCCACGAAGTCGACATCGACGGGTGGGACACGCGCCCTGATGGCCTGCGGACGCTTGCGCCGTGGCGCCTCCCTCTGCTCCACCGCGTAGTCCTCCTCCAGATCCAGCAGTGTTTTCTTGTCCGTGACTGGCTTGCGCAGCGTGGAGCGCGTGGGCTTCTGCTCTTTGGGCGCTGCAGTGCGTCGTCGAGAGGCAGAGCGCGCTGGCTGTATGGGCTCCTCATAGTCATCCTCCTGCTGCTCACGATCTTGATAGTAATCGTCGTCCTCCTGCTCGTCAGCAGCTGAAGCTGGCGTCGGCGTCGCCGTGCTCTTCTGCACCGGATAGGAGTACTTCTTCTTCTCGTTGATGGGCACGGGACGGGCTATGCGGGGCGGGGCACGTGGACGGGCGTAGACAGAGGCAGCCGCTGCTTTCGGCGTGACGAACTCGGCCAGCGGCTTGGGCGTGGTTTTTACTTTTTGTGGAGTCTGCTCCTCGGCTGCCTCCTCCTGATCCAGGTCGTACGGCTTCTCGTACTCATCGAGCTCATCCAACACAGCTGTTGTCGAGGGCGTCGGGCGCTTATCGCTGCTGCGGCGTCTGCCAGCCGCACGACGTGGTTCCTCTGCATCGCGGTCCTCTGTGAAGCTGCGCCGCTCATCCACTCGTCCTGGCTTGCGGGGCACTGCCTTACCGCGTCCGCCTGCGCCCGCTGCGGGCTTTCCTCGACGGCCGCCAGGTCTGTTCCGACGATCATCGTAGTCCTCGTCTATCAGATCTTCCTCGTCCCTGTAGCGATTGCGATTGTGTCGCAGCGGCTTCTTCTCATCGTACTCATCGTCGTAGTCCAGCTGTGGCTTGCGTGGGCGGGGTCGTGGATTGCGGCGACTATAGCGATCATCGTAGTACTCATCCTCAGTCTCGTCATAGTAGTAATCATCCACGGGCCGGCGGTTGTAGGGCCGATGGTAGGGACGTTGACCTCGACGCCTGGGCGGCGGCGGCGGTGGTGGTGGTGGCTCCGTTGTGGTGGTACTCGTCGAAGACGTTGTGGTGGCCATATACAGCTCATCGTTTCTGCGCGATGAGGCAACAACTCCAGTTAGTCACGGTGCGCTAAGCAGGTCAACTATGTTTCGCACTCACCTGTTCCAATACTTTTGCGAGCCCTCGCAGTCCACGTCGGAGGCAAAGTGACAAATGAAGGTGCGCTGATCGAAGGCCGTGAAATTGGCGCAGAGGAAATCGTGTCGTATGCCATAGACGCAATGATGATAGATCTGTGAATAGTTGGGAGAGCTGTTAGTGTAATTTGCGTACAACTAAATCGGGTACTCCCACTGGAGGTGTGAATAAAGTCTGTTTAACGTCTCTTTGCCAGGCAAACAAAATTCATTTTGAGGTCAAGATCGACACGCAGACAAGTTTTTTTTTTTATTATTATTTCTTTTTTAATGTTTTTCTTTCTTGGCTTCGCCTCTGGGCACGTAAGCCACACGACGGCGGCTAAAAGAGAAATTACTGGACACGAGTTACGTGGTAGCTGGCTGTTCAACTTGGCCAATTGGATAACGTCGCCTGCTACATTCCCCATTCCCCAGTCCCCAAACCTCATTCACCCGTTGCGCTACTGTGAACACAAGGTCAACCGACACATTGCATAGTTAGCAAAACATATAATTTGGCTGGCCCCAGTGACCCTTTACTTAGGGAAGATTTTAGGGTCAGTTTGTCATAGATTAGTATGTGATATTCTTCGCTTTAAGAGTAAAAGTGAGATTACAAGGTTTCGGATGACGAATAGTTACTGAACAAAAAATATAGAAGATGAGGAGAGAGCAAAGCAACCGTCTTATGAAGAGAGTGGGAAGATTAACAATCTAAGGAACGATGGCATAGAAAATCATGGAACCATGGCAAAGAATTACAACAACGCCTAATATAGAAGAATGGGAATCAGAACATTGATTCAAACTTCTATTCACTAAATTATGCATTACTTGGAAACTTAGAAGAGCAACTACTTAAGAGCCCTATTTGAGTAATTTATCATTGGCAAATTTACTCACCTGGCATTTGTACTCAATGGAGGCATAGAAGCCATCGTGTAGACCCTCGCACTTGAAGTGGATCTCATCCATGGGTGGAACGGAAGACAAGAAGGGATAGGTCGAGAGGTTGTAGCTGCAAGAGACAAATATAAAGTACGCCAAAAATTTTTATTAAAGGCTTTCTGTTTATTTATCAATTGTATAAACTCACCCTCTCAGCTCCCTTGGTAAATTTGGATCCCAGACATAATCAATTTGGGGTATGCCCGTCAGTTTTCTCTTTGAAATCGTGCCATTTTCCGACTGCAAATTAGAGAAGTTTCATTGCCCATCTCAAGCCATGAGAGTGCTATGAAGTGCTCACCTTGCCCTCCTCGCCCTCAGCAGTGGGCGGCTCCTCCTTCTCTGTGACAGGCTCCGGAGTCGTTGTGGTGGTCGTTGTGCTTGTGCTGGTTGTAGAGGCGGGAGTTTTGGCAATGGAAACCTTTTTGAAGGGCAGCGCAGCATCCGCAGAGCTAAGCAGACCCAATAACAGCACTGCCCATAAAAAAAGAGGCGAGAAAGAAATATGTTAAATTATAGCTGGTTTTTTGTTTAATTGCATAAGCGAAGCAGTTTTTGTGCCTGAATTATATCAGAGCTGCAGCAGTTGCTGCTGCTGTTCCATAATCCAGTTCGGGACAACAATTTAGTTAATGCAACCACTCCTTGAGCAACTCGGCTCGACTCACCTGTCGCTGTTATGATCAGCCAGCGTGTGGCTCTCTTCATTATGACGACTCTTCAGTTGCTGTTGTATTTATGTTTTCCGCTTTGGTATGCTTTGAACACAAATAAAACAAAGAAACAAATAAAATAACATTATTATGTAAATTCCACAAAATAATGAAAAAGAAGAAGAAATGAAGCAAAATGAAAGACACAAAGTATTGTAACATAAATGCCAGAATTTGCCAATTAACACGCCCACACAAACTCACACACACACACATTCATACTCACACTCATAATCATGTACTTGTTCAAAGATTTATGCTTTAAAAGAGTCACTGAACGATAAAAAGAAAGAAAATAAAAGAAATGTCTCTGGATTCCGTTGGGTTCTTCACTTAACATTTTCGGCACGCAATTCTCAAGTATTTCTGATGTTTTTTTTTTTTCGTAGCTATACCTAACTGCATTACACACAAACACACACACCTACACACATATATATGTATATATTGATTAACGTTACTTTTGCAGCTGCTCGGCAGTCATTCAGTCAATTGATTTCTGAACTTAGCATACATATAAGTATATGAATATATATATATATATATGTATATCTGAATATGGCTATAGAAAGTATTCTAGACATTAAAATCGTCTGATTTTCTATGCCTCGTATTTATGGCTAAACGATGAAAATGGAAGAAGTGAAACTGCTTTACGCTGAATTCCATAATTGTTTAGTAGATATACTTAGCCATGTATTACGCTTACTAATTTGAATATATATTTAAATAAAATAAATATAAAATAATAAATATAAAATAATAAATATGAAATAATAAATATAAAATAAAAAATATAAATGAATATATATGTTATTTATCGTATAAGATTTAAAACATTTATAAATGTTTTCTTCTTTATGCAGAAATCGAACTTATAAAAAGTTCTCTCTCTCTCTTTCTCTCTCCTTAAGCTGAGTTTAAGTTGAATAATATTTACTCTGTAGGCAATTTGGCATTTGGTGGTACTCTCTTATTGGCTAATAAAACTATATAAACCAAACATTTTTATTTTGGTAACAAAACTAAATGCCTGCAAACTGATGTTTAATGAAATAAAAAAGGTAAATAAATGTAATGACTGCACATTTCGCAGATCTATATGAATTTCAATTTATGATAAAAGACTTAAACGCTTTTGCTTCGCTTTTATTTCCGTTGAATTTCCGTTAATTTAAACACTTTGATTCAGTTGAAGTAGTTAGTAATTGCATAATTAGCCGCTGCCTTCAATGTCACTTACGTAAAGCACAGCGAAAGGGCAACAACAAAAGCAAACACAGAGCAAGACAGATGCACAGCCAGAGAGAGAGAGAGAGGGAGAGCGAGAGAGAGAGACAGACGAACAGATAGTCGGGCAATGCATAACTATATCAAATTGAAAAGTGAACAATAGATTACAATTACAATGCGGCAACACTTTCATTTTCAATGCGTTTTAATTGGCTGTGCAAATATATCTATGTAGATATATACATATACATACATATATATTTATATGAAAGAAAAGCAAAAACCAAACGCAAAATCAAAAGCAAAAATCAAAATTTCAAAAGCGGCAGCTGCCATAAAAAGTAAGTGCTTTAATTACTTATATTGATATCACTTAAGTATAGTATATAAATACATATACACTGCAAATTCCAAGCTGGCAAATACCTGCAGTTCATTTATTGCAAAATCAGAGAGGGAGAGGGAGAGGCAGATAGAGTAGGAGAGGCAGGTTTAGCTCAGTGATACAAATCGAAAGGTTCATTGGAGCATTGTAATTCGGCAGTTTGGCATTGTTTGCATGCATATATACATTTATATATATATATATATGCAGATAGTGCAGATATATATAACGGATAATGTTTTTATTATGCATTGTTTATTGATTTTCCTTGAATTTGATTAGCCATTCGTTTAACGGGGCGTATGCGCATTTCGAAATGTCAGACAGCGCAACGCGACGTCTGATTGTTTATTTTGGCTTTTCTTTCTTCACTTTTTGGCAAAGAGGAAGCCTCCATGGAATTGCTCTGGGTAATGGATTTTTGTAGCTTCAGCTGCACAGCTGCTCAGCCTTTCAGTTATTCATGGCACAATTTTGTTGTTCATTGTTTTGTATGTCGCTGGCGTCTGTCGTTTGGTAAAGACGAATGCGACGGAGTTCAAAGATTTTGCCGTTCACACCCCGCTCCACAAAAATAATGTGTGTCGCGCATTTTAAGTAGGTTTTTTTCTTTGGTTTATTGAGATCTGTTGTTGTTGTTGTTTATGATGATGTCTCTTGACGATGTTTCCAGCTGCGTGTTTGCAGTTTCTGACATTTTGAGCCAAAGTTTAGATAAATATGTGACAAATGATGATAATAGCCGACTGCAGCCAACTGGTTCTACCCATGCAACCTCAACATGATGCAGGCTCGTATACATTTTTTAAATGTCAAAGGGTTCAGCTACGCAGCGCTCAAGCTGAATAAAGCTTCGCATTAAAATCTTTTATAATAAAATTATTTAATGAGCAGACATTATAGATAATCAAGACATGTTATATATATTATTATAGATAATCAAGTTATGGTTGGCATTTAAGCTCGTTTTACTGTTCTCTCTCTCTCTCTCTCTCTCTGTTCCATATATGTATGTAACAAGTACTCCATCTCTTATTCCAAAAATATGTAAGGTCAAGCGACTTATATGTTATGATATATGAGCATACTAAACAAGTTAAATTTATGGCTTAGCTTTACTTCTGCTGATACCCTTATTTTGGCCACACTTCGTGCTGTCATAAACAATACTATATATTAATATCTGGCCATTGTTTGCCGCAAATGACAATAATAATAATAATAATAAGATGAGCATCTAATTTTTTACGGCCCACCATTAAGCGCGGCTTACTGTCTGTGTGGATGTCGCTGACTTGTATTGATATGCCTCGAAGATTCCGTGCTGTTGAATTGCCTTTTAGCCAAGTTCAAATTCAAGGCTAAGCACGATCGCTTACAGACACACGAATACCGGTAAAAATCGTTGTTGTTGTTGTTGTTGCCGGAGCTGTTATTGTCTTTGCTTTTCGTTTGTCTTCAATTTAACAAATTATTGATGATGGGCAAGCAAAATGGCAGTAGCAGTCACAGTTATAGTCATAGTCACTGTAATAGCTATAATTATATTGTTTTATATTGTCTAAAGTAGAGCAAATGTATAGGTACTATATATGTGAAATATATGTGTATACATTAGTCATAGCATAAGAATTTATTTGTTATTGTAGCAACATCTTCAGTCGCTGTCGTAGTCGCAGTCGCAGTCACTGTTTCATTCACAGTAGCAGTTTCAGCAGCAGCAGCAGCTACAACTACTGTGAGTGAGTGTGTGTGTGTGTTTTTTTAGCTAATGACTAAAATATAATTTGGCTAATTTATATGCAAAATCGACAACATAATCATAATTTCCATCACAATCACAGCTGCCGATTTTGTAACAGCTATAATTGCTGCTGAAAGGGAAACTGCTGTGAAGGGAAACTCAAATATGTTATGTTATCTATCTGTACAGTAGATCTTACAGAAGGATGCTTTAAAGTATCTATTATAGTGCTTAATGCAGTTTCGATTTTCAATAATTGCTGCAAATATAGTTACAGTAACAGTTATAGTCACAGTGACATTAAGTTGTAATCTCAGTCGCAATTTTAGTTCAGTTTTAGTTCTAGTCACTCAAAAAACGGAAATATTAAAGAACCAATTTATGTATCACAGGAAGTTTTCAAATAAATATTTAATTTGATAAAATTGTTGTTTTTATTTCTGGGAATTAGCCTATTTTATTTCTATTTCTATTTCTATTTCTGTGAATTAGCTCATTTTATAGTTTTCTTTTGGGGCTATTTATGAGCGCGAATGCCTTGAAATTGTGCAAATTGGCAGAAAAATAATCGCAAAACTCAAATTTGTTAAGTTTTTCACATAATTTAGCAATAAAATCTCTGATTGTGCGTGTGTGGGTTTTTTCTACAAATATTTGTTCTGTGTTTTTTTTGTTCTCTCCGTTTATATTCAAGTTGATTTTGGCAAATGACGTTAACTAATTAAAATATTAGCTAGACAGAGACAATGAACATGGAGATGTTCATAGAGAGGGGAGCCAGAGCTGGAGGCGGCTTAAGGTCGCAGTCACACTTAGGGTCACAGTCACAGTTGCAGTCGCAGTCGCAGTCGCAGTGAGAGACAATGCACAATCAGAATACAGAAATTTATGCATTGCAAAAGGCCGCAGAGTCTCGCGACTTTCGTCTGAAGTTAGTTGCACGCATTGGTTAACCAGTTATATATACGTATATATATATAGAGTATACCCTATATTTCAGCTGGCAATAAGAGCTCTCGATTTCATTTGCATTTCTAATGCGAGCAGCTCACAAAATTACTGTGAAATGTGTCGTCGCAGCGACGTCAGCAACTGGTTTCGGTACACAGTTTTTCCTTTTTATTTTGACTTGATAATACTTTATATATATACTGTATATATTTTAATTTATGCATCGAGTCGTATCAACCGGTTGGCTCTTCGAGGAGCGCTGCTGATCTTCAATAGATGCCGGTTCCACAAACTCTGACTCGAGCTGCTGCGTTGTCATCAAAAAATTAGCATCTCCGTTCGGTGTTTGGACTTTTCATTTGACTTTTTTTTTTTAGTTATATTTTTTATGGTTTGCTTTCAAGGTCGCAGCAGCTGTTGTGGCTTTCGGGTTTCTGTTCATTTTTGTGGTGCAGTTTGTTTTTTTTTTTTTTTTTCTATTTCTGTTTTGTTTTCTTCGATCTGTTTAGCATGCTATTATACAATATTAATGTGGGCTTAGCTAATTGCCCTTTGTAGAGCCATTTGTCAGCGTGAATTGATTTCGGGCAGATTGCCAAGATTAGTTAAAGCCAATTATATACTATCGTTCACTTGTTGCGAACTGCGTAAGGGAGTAGCTCAAGTACAGCTATCACAAATTCAATGATAGAGATCTAAGAAGCATGCAACAGCACAAAATCTCAATGGCTTAACGATGATTAATTAGAAACCTAAAATAGCACTTTAAACTTGACTAAAAGCAACTTTTTTATTGCCCAGGGATATTTCATCTATGGCGATAGATCAAGTTCAACAATGCTAAGCCATAAATCTTGGTCGTTTCTTAACAAGAGTATATATGTTTAGTATATAATAGCATATATGTAATTTGCCTATTTTAAAAATTTTCTTAAAAAAAAAAAACATTTAATATAAGACCTTGACGTTTGTATAACTCTGACCTTAAAAACGCATAGCGTGTCTACGGCTCATTAATATGGATTCTAATCAGAATGTTCTTCCTACCAAATATTATTATATGATAATGATTATGATAATGTTTACAACTATTTCTATTACCAGAAGTGCTTAAGCTTCAGATATATGAATAATATTGTTTATTAATTTGTATATAATATATTTATAATATTTAATCATGTTTAGAAAAGGCAATGAATATTATATAAATTAAAACTTTAATTGAATTTGCCCCCAAACAATATACGTAAATATAGTAAATATAGCATATATTTCTATGCATTTAAAATTTATATATATGTATGTATATATGTATATAAATTATTTTGCAGTTTGCTCTCATCTTCACAACTTTTGAATGCGTTCGCTCGCGTTTGCAAGTGGCAAGTGAAACCGAGATTTTCTTTTTGGAAAATCAGTTTTCAGTTTCAATCTGTGTGCTTGTCAATTGTTGTTGTTGTTGTTGTTATTTTACTTTTTGTTTTTATTTTATGGCCAAATAAGCTAATCGCCGATTCCGGTTGCGATTTGTTCAAGTAAAGTTGTTGGAGCGTATGCAAAAAAAAAGGTGAGTGAGAAATAAAAGAGAGCAGCAGCAGCTCAATGAGAAATCTCCGTTTCACACGCATCTAAAAGGCCTTTTAGGTGTTTTCCAGTAATTAACAAAAATTTAAGTGCCAGGAAAACTGAGCGTAATGAATAAAATGAGCACTTGAGTGCTTGAAGAAATTACAAAATAAAAGAAAAGAAATGTATATATACACATATATAAGTATATAAAAATAAAACAATATATACAAAATAAAAATAATGTTCACATACGCTTGGTCGCAGATGAATGAAAGTAAAATTTAAAATTTGTTTGCTGTAACTGTTGTTGTTGCGGTTGTTGCTATTGTTGCTGATGTTGTTGCTGTAGTGTTTACTGTAGCTGTTGATGAAAGTAAAATCGGCGATGTTTTGTTTGGGCTCTCTGGCAAAGAGATGCGCCAGCCACAGATAAAAAGCAACAAATTGTGTATAAACAAATTATGGCAATTGTTTGTGTATTTTCAGCAAGTAATGCTACAGCAACAACAACAATATGTTGATTGTGTTTTGCGCCAACAACAACAAACAACAAACAACAACAACAACAACTGCAGCAAAAGTTGTACATGGCAAATAATTAGCAACGCTTGAGATAATTTTGCAAAGTTTTGCCAAGAGTTTTGGCCCTGAGCTTTGAAGAGGCTGCTGGGCTAAAAAATATGCTGCATAATATTTCAAATAGAGACACATAGCTTACCTCAAAATTAGCTAAATATTTGAACTTGTTTTTTAATAATCCAAAACTTGTTTTTAGTTTTTAATAATTTTTCAATATATATATTTATACATTTATATTTTTCCTTGCTAAATTTTTGCTAAAAATGCAATATAAAAAGGAAAATTTTATACAATAAACTGCAAACACACGCACACAACTAAGAGAGAGAGAGAGAGAGAGAGAGAGAAAGAAAGAGAGGGAGAGACTAACATATGCCTGCATATGTGCGTGTGTGTGTGTGCATTGCAGTTTTATCGCATAGTGTGCGTGCACTTGTGAAAATTATTATTGTTGTTTTTTTTTTTTTTTTGCTATATATGTGTGTGTGTTTTTTTTTATATTATTAACACACACGCGTCACATTAACAATTTTCTTTTTTTTTCATTTTCATCTTTAGTTTTTAGTGCTTTTTCATTGAGGGTATTACGACACTTGCGCATTAGTTTTTCACACCAACACAGCTGCATTTAACACTTTTGCCCAAAGGCGTTTACGACTGCGTTTAATTTGATTAAATATTTTTTTTTTTTTTTTGACGAAAATTAATATTAGCATCGACCACTATCAATTTGCATGCAAAACTTTTGTTTGGTCATATAAATTTTATATAATTTTTTACAACACAATGCTAAACACGCACACACACACACACAGACGCACACAAACGCACACACAGCGGGTATACATATATACACTTGTGCGAACGCAGCGCATGCGCAGCGTTGCTTAGCCACGCCCACTTACTTATGCCAACCTGTCTTGGCTGCCGTTCACCTGGCTGACCGTTTGCAGACTGAAATTGCAGATTGTTGGCCAACTTTGCGTTGGCATAAAATCGTCTTTTTGGTAACGAAGCGAAGCTTTTTAGCTCGCTAATTTGATTTCCAGTCGCATGTCTTGGAAACTGGTTTCTTGCCGCTTCGCCGCAACAGCAAAGGCAACGACAGCGACAACGACAACGACAACAACATCGGTAACTGCGCATGCGCTCAGCCGAATGAGCAGTAGCGAGAGAGTGAGAGAGAGAGCGCGCGTAACAGAGAGCGTGCGCAGCCGCTGCTTGAGAGAGCGCTCGAGCTTAAGCTTAAGCCAAAGCTTTTCTTTGTGTAGCAGTTTTTGTTACAGTTTTTCCTTCACATTCTGCAATAGTTTGTAGTTTATTTTGTTTTTTTGCTTTTGCTTTTGCTTTTACTGTTTGTTTAGCCTATGCCTTTGCTTTTGCTTTTGCTGTTGAGTTTGCAGCATTTGCTGTTTAGTCGCTTGTTTTTATCTTATAAGCAGCTTAACAGGTTTTGCTGATTAAGATTTTAGTATAGATATATATAAATATTAATTTTTTTTTCTTTGTCTCTACAATTTATTTATTGAATTTCTTGCAAAATTTATTGAGTGAGAATTAGAATTTGTATTCGTATTTTTTTTAGTTTATAAATTATTGCTCTTTGTATTAATTTTTTAATCCTTTTTTTTATTGTTTATTATTAGAATTCTTTGATCAGTGATTGCTGCGAAGTTTCCTCTATTCAAATACTCTTTTTTACATGCCGAATACTCTTTTTCCGCATTGCACTTTATGTATATTTAATTGTGACTGATCTATTAACGATACACAATTGATATTCATGTGCTCGTTAATTTATTTTGAATACTTTCCGTTTGATTTGCTGAGTGACCGCAATGACATAATAACAATAACACAACAAATTGCAGCAGCAGCTACAATAGCAACAACAACAACAACAACGACAAGAGAGTCGGGCATTTCAATTAATGAACCAACATAGGCCAAAGCCATCTGCTATTAGTCATGCATACACACACACACACACAGCAAACAACCGTAACACAATAAGTCGTGGACGTTGTCCAGAGACACATAAATTGCTTAAACGGCTCATGAATTATTGCGTATACGCCGCATGGTGCGGAGCACAATTAAATTTTAGTTAGGCACAAGCACTCACACTCACACTCACACACACACACGCTCACACGCAGAGGCATACCCGTATATTAAATGACTAAATCTAAAATCGACTGAATGCAAAATAATGTGAAGCATTTCAAGCGGCTCATAATGAAATCAATCAACGGTCACAACAACTGCTCCCCATCAGGCTTTTATAGTAGTTGTTGTTGTTGTTGTTGTTGCGCTAACTGGGGATTAAGGCATACATACATACCTATATATCTCTCTTTTAAAGAGCCAAACGACTTAAGGCTGTGTCTGCAGTTTATTTAACTGACTCTGTGTATGTGAGTGTGTGTATGTGTGTATGTTACGTCACAGAGCCAAAGTACTTGGAGTCTGTTGCACTGCATCTGCGCATGTGAAAGTTGAATTTGATGGCGACTGTCGTTGCCTGTATTCAAATTGGAGCAACAGGCATAGACACACACACATACACAGACAAACATACACTCATACCATACACAAACCAATGGCTTGTGCCTTAAATTGATGTTATATTAATAGCACCTACTCATATTCATGCAATTGTTTTTCTATGCTCCATGTATGTGTGCTCGCTATTGAGAATGAGTGCAATATGTCGACTCTCCGTGTGTGTGTGTGTGTGGGTCGGCTAGCCGAACCGGTATGTGCCATACTATCCAAGTCTTGTTGCAGTTTTTTTTTTTAGTACATGTTGTAACTGTTAAACGGCTCTCAGCCTGGTCGGCAGTGCGCTGCCTCCAGCTGCCAATCGCCCAGCTGTTTTTGATGTCTGCTCTGATAAACAAAATTTGTTACAATTTTTTAGGCATGCGAAAACTCGCATATTGCAAATCAAAATTTGATAGGATAATCACGTTTTTAATAGCGAACTTAACTCTTTAAGTTTAATAATAATTGCAGCTGTTAAATGTGGACTTTACTTAAATTTTACTTATAAATTATTTAATTGTATCTCAGTTGTCTTTACATTTTTATTGTCATGAAATGTAGTCATATTTTACTTATTTTATTTTTAATTAATAATTTTTTATTTTTATATTTATATATTTTTTTATGTTTGAAGCTGTTTTAGTTTTTCAAATTAAATTAATTATATATTTAATCAATCTCTTAAAAACAGTTAATGTCCACAGATCCGTGCAGCGTATCTGCCAGTCGATCAGTTGTATATATTAAACTTATTACAAATTTAGTTAACTGTCAAAAACGTAGTCAACATTTTTTAATTTTTTAAAGATTTTTTTTCAATATTTTTTTCTACTTATTTTTTTATTTTCTATTTTTAAGCTGCTTTTTTGCAAATATTTTTGCAAGTCAAATTTTCGTTTGGCAATTGTCGGCAGCTGTTTTTAGCCAGGCCAACACATTTTTAGCTGAGCTGTTAAGAAATCAAAACTAATTCATTAAATCGGCAGATAAATGCCATTCATCTATATGTATATAGATATATATTATACATAAATTCAATTTGCATTAAGAAGATATTTAAATTTTAAGCCTGAATGACGCGAGTCACGAGCTCGAGTTATTCAATTGAGTTTTCATGTATAAAAAAAGAATCAAAGTTAACCGTTACATTTGTGCCAATTTTCGAGTAACCACAACAAGCCCCACCCAAAAAATTAAACAAACAAAATGATTTCTGTCTCTTTTGTAAGAACAAAATGCATTCAAAATGATTTTTATTGTTTTTCTTAGAAGCGAAAAGTCGTTCAACCCGTTTGTTTGTTTATTGTTACTACGTAATTACATGGAAAAGAATGTATTTGTTGTTTTATATATATATATGCTTTGTGTACTTCTTTGTTGTTGTTTTTCTTATGACAACAAATCGGGTTTTTACATTCTCTTGCAGGCCTTGGCGAAAAAAAAATACGAAACAAGACAAAAACAAAAGCAAAAGCAAAGCAAAGCAAAGCGCCCGCAACGAATTGCAATTCCGCAATCGATTCGTATACGAATTCGGATTCGATATCGAATTCGAGCTGAGTTTTGACCTTGCTTTTGAATCAGTTATACACATATATCTATATATATATATGTGTGTATCAGGTGGTATATCTAGTTCTTTAGATGATAAAGAAGTTCAACACGAAGCGAAACACTTTGCTCAGCGTGCTGTTCGAGGCCGGACGCTCGTTGGCCGCCAGCTGAGCGTCCAGCTGATCCTCCAGCTCGGCCCCATAGCGCACTATATACCACTCGGCAGCAAAGTAGACGACGAGCGTAACCAGTGCAAATTTAATGTAGATCTTGAATATCCATAATATGTTCAGGCCAAGCTGTTGCAGCAGCTCCAGCACATCCATTGCTGCCAGCGCCGGCTAACGTTGCGTATGCGCAATGCAAAGGAAAATACACCGAAAGGCTGACTGACTGACTGACTACGAAAAATATAACAAGAGTAAAACTCTCGCAGCTTGCCGGCTGAGTGCCTACGCGTAGGGTCGAGCGAGCTGGGCAAAGATTGCGATTTGCTGAAATGAGGTCGCTTGAGGCGTCGCTTTGGAATCGCTTTGTGGCTTATGCAATTGTTGTAGCTGCTGTTGTGGTAGATGTTGTAGTGCTGCTATTGTTGTTGTTGTTGTTGCCGATGTCAATGTTGTTGCTGTTGCTGTTGCTGATGTGTATTGATTGTGTGGAGCAGCGCATTAGTGTGGCGTTCAAGATGCACATTTCGCTTTCGTCTCTGACAGATGCCTAAGTTGCTGTCGTTGTTGTTGTTGTTGTTGCTGCTGCTGTTGGTGCTGTTGCTGCTGTGTTCATGGTTGTTGTCGCCTCATTTGAATTTTATAGTGTTGATGATCCCGTCTCTTCGATTTTTCGTGTTTTCGTATTTCGCTATTTCGGCCTTTTACACTCGTAATAATTGTTGCTGCCACTTTCAATTTTTTTTTTTTAAGCTACCTCTTGTTGTTGTTGCTGCTGCTGCTCGTGTTGTTGTTATATCTCACGTTGTCATTTGATCACTATGCGCGCCGCTTAATTATGTTAATTTGTGCACCAGCTTTGTAAAATTTATTTCGCTTTTATTTTTCGGCTTCCATTGTTGTTGCTTTTGGCTCTGCTTTTATTTGCGCGCCCTGTAAAGGGAAAAAAGATTTATTTTATTTTATTATTGTATTTTTTATTTTTTTTTTTGAAAAATCAAATATATTCAACGCATTTGTAATGTGTTTGTAATTTAATTGGTTTCGGGGCGGGCAGCTTAAATTGATGAAGATAAATGATTCGATAATCGACAGCAACACAAATAACGGCATCCATAAACAAATTCGATTGCGAAAAAGGTGGTCGGTCTTCGTGCATTTGTTTGCTAACTGCAACTGTAGCAGTGGGCGTGACTTGGGCAGATATTATATCAGCTGCAGGTGTTGCAAAGATTTTGATCAATCTGTGTGTTAAGTGAAGCGGTACAAGATGAAGTTGAATGAGAGAAAGGGTAGAGAGTATGTGAAATTTACAGACACTCGAGACATTTACGATAGGAACTTAAAATCGTAAATCAAGATCAGGATCAAAATCAAAGTGTGTGTTAAAAGATTAAAAACCATGACTAAAATCTAAAGCTAAGACTTAATTAAAAGCAGAGTAAAGAGCTCAGCTGGAAAATTGAGTCTATGGCTTCAAAACCAAGTCTCTAATCCGTGGATATTGTAAGCCAGGCTAACGAAGCGTAGCTTCAGCCAAACTTGAGTTGCAGTCTCAAGATCTGCTTTTTAGACTTGCAAATCAGTTAATAAATGAACGAAGCCATGAATAATTGATTCGCTGTGCATTCTCTTGCCGTCAATCTCTGCTGGCCGGACTATTTATAGGCAGAGCTACTTAAACTCTTTGCCTGACCTTGACAGCAACCTTCCAGCGCCAAGCGTCGAGTCAGTGGCCGCCGCCCCCCTTTCGGCCACACCACTGTCTGCCAGCCATGTTTGACAAATTAAAGTGAGTTGAGAGCGAGCCAAAAAAACTCGATTGCATCTTCAATACACTTGACAATCGCTTAACAAAATCTGCTTAACCTTACGATCTGCGGCTCTTGCTGCTGCGGCTCCTCCTTTGACTTTGGCTGCATCTGCAGCCACGACTGCGACTATACGCCGCTTGCCGCTTGCCGCTGATAAATGCAGCAATTATTTAAAGCGCACAAATCAACTTCAACTTGGATGGGTCTATGCGGCTGACCGGTGTGGCAGGCGTCGCGCCGTTTTCGAAAAGCCAGCCAAAGTATATTACATTAATTTCAAAATGTACGGGCAAAAAAGCCCCGCAGTTGTCGCAATACCGACAGAGTGATAGAGAGAGAGAGAGGGAGAGCGGGAGAGCGAGACCGAGAGTGAGGGGGAAAATGAAAATGTGTTTAAGAAACCAGTCGCCAAATGGACAAAAGTGGATTGCCTTCACAATGCCTGCGGACCTGACTTCCACTCGCCAATCGAATTCTTCCTGACTGCAGGCAATGCGAGATATGTAAATGCTGAAGTTGAACTGTCGCATAAACTGAGCCACAGACAAAGACGCAGCTCGGTCTCTGCTCGCCTCCCCCTGCTCAGCTGTCGACTTGTCAAACCAAAAACTAGACACTAGATTCAAGATGCGAAACTGAAAAACTTGAGTCGTCAACAAACTCAAAAGATTCGCTTAAATGAGTTTTTGTTTCTTCTGTTTATTTTGTTTGGTAGCCAAGGCAGTTGTCTGAGTCTCTGATAAGTGCGCGCACTCCTCCATATGGATGCGTACCGGTTTCTGCGCCAGACCCTCTGACATTCTCACCTTATTCGCATGAAACACTCTGTTTTGATAGATACCTGTAGTTGTGGACAATGACTGGGGTATGTAGAACAGGTAGGAAATGGCTTTCAATGTTATTAAAGTTTAATTTAAATATAATCAAAATAACATCACAATTTAATTATTAACTGAAGCTGTAGATAATGTCTATCATTTTAAATACAGATTTAAAGACTGACTTACACGATATTTACAAGTCTACTATGCTCAAATTTCTAACTTGTTTTCCGTTCAACCTATGGCATATGCCTCATACATATGACCATATAATAATTTCAATTTCTTGGCTACATGACATTTGCATCACATAGTAAATTATCTAGCTGCATGTTAATTAACAAATTTGTTACTTCCCCACAAAGCGTAATAGACATTAAACGCTTTTTTGAGTAATTCGCACTTATATAAGGCAAATGGCGTTAATTTCTCGGCCACTTGGCGGTAACCCATTAAAATGTGGGTGACCAGCGAACAGACCAGACCAGACCAGGCCAGGCCAGGCCAAGGCATGCCGTGCCAAGCCAACAAAACGAGTTGAAAACATGATATGAAAACATTTAAGTAGATGCCGTCATAGATAGATATCGCTGTATGGGCCTGCTAGGGTCTATTCGGATTAGGGAGTGGGGGTGGACAGTCTGACACGCATTTCTACTCGCTAATTGCACAAATTGTGTCAGTTGCGGCTGCCCAATGACCAAAAGTTGACAACTGACTTTTAATTAGGTAGGCCCGAGGCTTGAAAGTGTTTTTATCGTTTGAATAACCGGGTTTGTTTTGTGAAGTTGGTCTATCTGTTTCCGTAATTCTTTGAGAGCGTTTCTCTGATTTGATGGAAAGCCATGAGATTCTTATTGGAAAAATATCAAAATTCGACTTTAGCTATAATTATGGTCATAGATTTAAGCTACATCATAAAATATTAAAACTCCGTTCTCCATTACATTCTAAAGGCAAATTTGTCTTTTCTCAAACAGCAACCAATTGGACTCTAGTTGGAAAAATGCTACTAGAATAAAAGAACCAAAAAGTAATTTTTAAATTTACATTCCAAACACATTCACATAACACCGGTATCTTCTTCTCTTTGTTTCTGCTGTATTCTCGAACTTTCTGAAGCTGTCTTCCACGAAGCAACAAATTGCCAAAAAAAAAAAAGCCAACAACCAGTCACATCTGAACACTATCAATCTTCTCCCAAAATTGCTTTATTCAAGCATCTTTCAGCGCATGCTAATCTTATATTAATATATTTACCTTATTGTTATCTATTCGTACACATTTTGTCGAGTAAAATATAAATAAACAAAAAGAAGAGAAGCCAACACACACGCAGTCAACTTTGACAATTGGAAACTGGAAGCACAGCTCTTCCAGTACTTGGGCAAAGCTCAAAGCCATATGATCAACAGCTGATCTACAAGCAAAGCTTTGCAAAGCAAACAGGTAAGTATAGCTAAGTGCGTCAGAAAGAGATGACTATAGTTAGTGATGAGCGGCAAGCGTGAGTTACATAGCAACGAGCTTAAGAGTGGCGCTTAGAAGCAAAGCTTGCTCGCAGTGTCTAAAACTATGCAACAGAAAACGACAACAAATTTGTATAATTTTATTTTTATATTTTATTTGCAGGTACATAAATTTTAGATAAATTGGGAATATACATATATATACAATTTCTTTTATATTGGGTAACATGCCAACTGGTGAGGGTATTTTACAAAACAGCGCCAATTTGCAGCACTTTTTTAATTCGACAACAATTACAAAGCTTTTGGTTCCTTGTTCTTTATTTGATTCTGTAATTTCTAATTTGTATGCTGATTTTCACTCAATGGCCTCGATTATTTCATATTCTTCATCCAAAGAATGATCATAATCGATATTATATTTGTTTTTAATTTTACTTTTATAATCCTTGAGCTCATCGTCGTTTTCAAATTTATTCAAATTGTAGCGCATGTTGCCGCGTTGTTTGCTTTTGTAGCTGTTGTTGTTGTTGTTGCCGCCGCTGCTGCTGCTGCTGTTGCTGTGATTGCTATGCTCTGCTGTGCTATGTCTAGAGGATGTGTTTGCTATGCTAAATTGATTTCCTTTATTTCTACTGCTATTCCTATTGCCCTGCTTACGGCTACTGCCACTACTATTTTGTCTACTTTGATATTCGCTATATTTACTAGAGTTAAATTGTTGTTGCTGCTGTTGCTGTTGCTGTGATGATGAGTATGACGATTGAGATTGATTGGTTTTGTATCTCATGCTGCCTCTAAAACTATTTTTGGTCATTTTACTGTAGTTGGTTGGTGAGGTGCTATCTACGATTCTGTTGTTGATGTTGTTGTTGCTATTGTGTTTGCCTTTATCTATGTTGCTGTTGCTGCTGCTGCTGCTGCTCTTGTTTTGTGCCAGAAACTGTCGCTGTCTGCTGCCTCGCTGCCGATCCGCTGCCTCCGCCGTTGCTGTGTGTGTTTTCCCAATCTTATACTCATCATCAGCCTTATATCATACCTCAGCCTGCTCCTGCTGCTGCTGCTGCTGTTGGCTGCGCTCCGGTATGCGATAGAGCTCATCGTTATTCTGATAGAGCTGCTCGGAGCTGGCGCAGTTGACGTTCGACCACCAATCGCAGACGCGCACAGCCTGATTGAAGACGGTGCCGTTCGGGCAGAGGAACGAGTATTGATGGCCAGAGTGCAGGCACCAGTGCCAGACCTTGAAGAGAGCATTGTGTGAGAGTAGATTGTTTGAGTAATATTTGTTAAGTGAATCAGCCAAGTTGTCGCTCTAGTTAGCTCACCTGGCACCTCGTCTCGGTATCCGCATAGTAGCCCGGCTGACGTCCTTGGCAGTTGAATGACAAGCCCTTGGGCACCGCATCATAGATGGGATAGTCCTCGCCAGCTATGTAGCCATCAATTTGCTGCAATCGTAAACCATAAATGAGATGCGACTTTCAAGTACAGCTCGTGCATGGGTATGTGAATTATCTCATCGAGTGCAACTGCAGCGGGTGACCTTGGTTCGACTGTTGATTGCTTAAGCAGGGCACATTTAAAATCGCGGCAAAACAAACAGCAAAATGATGTCTAAACAATAACAAATTACGAGCCTGAAACAATTGCCACACACACTCAATTTTAGTACATGCGAAAAATAAAAAAAAGCAACAGAAACAGAAACCGAAAATTTAAAATGCAAATGCATCAACCGAAAAATCTGTCGAAAAACCAGCAAAAAAAAATATGAACAAAAAAACTGAATAAAGATCAACAAAAGAATCAGTGAGTGTTGAAAAATGTGCAATTGTGGGTGGTTAACTATGTATGTGTGCGTGTATGTGTATGTGTGTGACAATAAAAACTAACAGAGAACTGTCAATCTCATGCGTATGAAACCATGAAAAGCTGACACAGCACCAAAGCGCGACCAAGTGGCAGCACCACAAGTACCTCACACACACACACAGACACACACACGTACCAACAGGCGATGACATTCCCATGACTGACATTCGACAGCAGCGCTCTACAGCTCTGTTGTTCTTTTGTTCGATGCCCCATTGCATTTTCGTATTCCTGTGCAACATGTTGCATGTCACTGGCCTATCTTTCGGCTATCTTGATCTTGCCTCAATTCCAATCTAAATACATTTTTTCCACACCAATTTCGCATTGTTGCCGCTGCTGCAGCAACTGCGATACGCTCAAATAAATTCATTTGGAAGGCGTGTGACGAAAAATCTTTGGATGGACTCTTTTTTCTTTTTTGCAGGCGCCCATGTCAAAATGCATATATTATTGTTATAGTTCAATTTGAGGTTAATGTTTATTTTATGCTGATGAGAAGTATTGCAAAATATGAAATAGGGAGCTATAAAGGGAATTTAAATGATCTTAGTATTGATTTATACTTTCCATTTGAGCTTAAAATGTCTTATTAGCAAGTAAAATTAAGTATATGTGTGCTTTAATCAAATACTAAATAAATACCCACACAAATACGACAGGAGTATTTTAGTCCTTTTCTTTTACGAAATTGGTATTTTAGTGCATTTTATGTACTTAGGTGGCAACTGTGCTTAGGGTGACCCTTTTAGCAATCTTTAGCTGTTCATTAGCTTGTCAATTCCTGCTCGATAACTATGCTGTGACTATTTGCTAACTATTCGATAACAATTCTCAGCTCTTACCAAACAGTTTAACAGCTTTTTTTTTTTCATTGCCTGTGCAATTTCCTGCTGCACGCTAATAACTTTCATGAGGTTTTAACATTTGCAACTGCAACAACAATAGACGCCCAGTGCCACAGTAACCCAGCTGCCTAGCTATTGGCTCTTGGCTCTTTGGCTGCTTAAATACCAGACGACGAAGACTCCAAGCCAACAGCAACAATAACAATAACAACAACAACAACAACAACAACGGCAAAGCGTGCAATTTGCCTTTCTTTGCTCTAGTTGTTGTTGTTGTTTAGAGCAGTTCACCAAGGCTAATTGATAAAAGACTTAAGTAAAGAGGCTCCAGCAGCAGCAACAGACGAAGAAAAAAGGCAAACGATGACGACACCTTGAGCCAGCCAAGTCTGCATGCAATGGGAAATGCGGCCTGGCCAATGGAGGAGCCATCGGGTTCGTATAAGCTGGTGTGGCGTTTGCGGACGTGAGAAGATGTCTAACACTTTGCAGACAGGTCGACAGCGACGACGACGGCGTTGTCGCTGCACTTGCAAAATCGAGAGACTTTTTGGTCCACTTTTATTTTTGTCTTGGCAACAATTGCATTGTTGTTGCTTATTGTTGTTGTTATTGTTGTTGCCACTGAGGCGACTGCGACTGCAACTTTGCGTGGGAGTTTGTTGTAGTTGCTGGCGATGTTAGCCGTGTGTAGATCGCAATCAGACAAGAGACAAATGGTGTGCGCAATCTTTTACTTTGAATGAGTATAGAAATTATCTCAGATGACACTTTTTTAGCAGCTGCTGCCATCGATGCTACTGCTACTGCTGCTGCTCATGATATATCCATTCTAACGCTAATGAAGCTATCAAATTGTTTTCAATTTTTTTTTTTTACTTTTTTTAATGCGATTTTATTCCCAGGGCTATAAAGTTTTATGAGCGCTAAATATTTCAACGATAAATGAAAAAAGATAATTGACAAAGAGCAATAAATAGACAAATCGAAAAAGAGCGAGAGAGAGAGAGAGGGAGAGCGAGGGAAAGGGTGAGAGGCAGTTGAGAGTTGAGACTTAAGTTGGGTTTCATGGTGCGCCCTCAACCGAACTTACCCCATTGACACAGTTTCCTGCCAGCAGCACAGCGAACACGACAACCAAAACGATGGACATGCAGGAGGCAATGAAGCTGCTCGAGCAGAAGGAGGAGGCGGTGCTGCTGCTGTTGCTGCTGGCTGCCAGATGAAGATGCTGCTGCTGTTGTCTGCTAGATTGTTGCTGTTGTTGTTGCTGTTGTTGTTGTTGTTGTGGTGATTTGTTCGCGGTTGTTGCGGCTGCCATGATGTCTGTGATTTTGGGCTTTACGGCTACGCGGCGTATACGTAATTTAAATGTGATTTTGTGTATGTATGTGTGTTTGTGTGTGCTGTTTCGCTGTTCGTTGTTGCTGTTGTTGTTGCTATCTAAAATACAAAATCGAAAAGAGAAAAATAAAGACGAGCTAAGCTAAGTGCTATTAGATGTTATATACACAACATCCAATTTGTGTGTGTATGTGTGTGTGTGTATTTTAGAAAGGAAGCTGCAATTGGAAAATTGCATTGGGCCCAAGACAAGCTGAGATGTCTTCTCAAGTGTTTCTTTTCGGCTTTGGCATGTAATTAGATTTCATTTTTATATTTTTATTATTTTCTGATGCATGCGACTCTTGGCTCTATTTGGAATTTTATGCCTTGCCGCAAATGGTAATGGGCATTTGTGGTTACGTTAGCTGCGGTGGTTTCTATAATGCTTGTGGTTGCCTTGCCAGGAATAGATGATGATGCTGCTGCTGTTGCTGCAACAACATTCACTTCTTGCCACTTGGCTTTTGAATATGGCTTGTATTGCTTTTTGATTGCGTTTAATGGTTGATTAACTCAACGTTGTGGGTGATAATTACAGAGACCCTAATGTGGAAGTGTTTTGATTGAACTGAATTGATGGGTATGCTGGATTGTTATCTAATGAATGAACTTACTCTACTCTAGTATTACTAGAATATATGTACTATATTTTCAATATTATCTATAATTTTGTTTTTCTTTTCTACTCCAATTTGATCCTGGCCCTTACATATATGCTAAGGTCTCTAGCAAATCCTACTCTCATGAATATGAATCAGGAGCTTTGACTTGAAACTCTAGCAGAAATATATAATATACATAGCTCCTTAAAGGAACTCTTACTATGAGCTAACATATTATAACTAACACATCAATTTGGGACCCATTTAAGGACTTTGGTTGCTCTAATAAATATACACATTTATATTTATATTATGCATTGATGATATTAAAATTCCTTAAGAACACAAATTCTTTATCAAATCCTTTCTTTTTTTGTATTCTTATAAACACTGAATAAAAACTTTAGATTCCTTGCAATTTCCTTTAAAATTTCCATAGATTTATATTTCTACATGTACCCATGGGCAATGCTCATTAAAGTCTTGTCAAATTAAGCAATTGCCAGTCCACAATTGCATTATTATTAAATTATTTCCAAGTCATTATATAGTTTGCTTTTTATTTACAAGCTTTACGTAATTAATCTCTCAGCTTAAGAGGCACGCACTTAACCGCACACTTGAACAACGCTTGATATGTTTGTTGATATTTATTTAGTTTTTCTAGACTTTATCTGTTTTATTTTGCTTCTTCGGTTTGGCTCGTACGTTTTTGGGTCGCGAGAGCTGCGAGCTGCACGTGTTGCCGCGTTTGGAGTTGATGCAAAAGTTAGAAAAAATTTCGCATCAATTTTAGTTTTATACTCAAGAGCAGGTCGAGCGTGGCGGCGTCGTTTGCCACTCGGCTGGGGGCCAATAGATGAGCGCCGCAATACAAACCAAATGCACAGAGTCATCGTCAATGCTGCGGCTGCTGCTGCTGCTACCGCCGCAATTGCCAAAGAGCAAACTCATCGTCGTCGTCGTCGTCGTCATTCGGCGAGCAGCAGCCGAAACTGAAGCTAAATCATCGTGCAATTGGCGCTCATTCGGCTCTCTTGCTGCTCGCTGCTTCGCATTCATCGCCAAATATTTGGAGCTATGTGGCAGATGCCGCAGCATCGCCGCCTCGCAGCATCGCAGCGGCATTACAGCATTGTTTGGCTGCCTTGTTTTGTTTGCGGCTTTTGTTTGTTTATGATTTTGGCACATTTTGTGTTGTTACAATAAAAACGAAAGAGAAACAAAAATCACAAAATTAGTGCAAATTTTCATTGATGAAAGCCAAACAAAAGACTTAGGCAACGAACTTGTAAGACTGTCACAGCGATTAATTGCGGCGAAATGATTGCAATTAATACCGTTTAACTGTGATCAAAACGAAAGACTTGGGCAACGAACTTGACACTTGATTGGTATTAAATAAGAGCTGAATTATATATATTTGTAATGCTATTAAATTGGAGAGTTGGCATGCATATGAGAGAGATGAAACGTGTGTGTATAAAAGCCCTTTAGTGTAGCCTACCTTTATATTACTAAATTCTCTCACATGATTTGAGGGCATATGAAACTCAGTCACGTTGATAATAACTGTTAAAAATATTGACAGAATAAGCTCTGCTGCATGGTCAAGCAAAATATCAATAAATCAAAAGATTCAGGCAACAATCCACAAAAGACTTAGACAACAAACTTGATAATGAATAATAGAATAATAATAGAAATAATAGTAAATAAATTGAGGTGCCCATCTGAGATATGAAATACTTCATAAATGCAGTTATTCATTTTGATAATCGACTTAAGTAAACAATCTCTGAACTGTCTTTGAATTGGAGTAGCTGTCGGATACTGTTAATCACTTTAATTACGCAAATCCGTAACCCACGCTGCAAATGCATTTTGATTATAAATTATCATAAATTAAACTAATTAAAATCAAATCGCAGCAATAAATTTACAGCAGACATTCGCTCTAGAATTGATGCAGCCAGCGACAGCAGCCGCTCACTTTCAAAAGATGTGCAGTGGCAGCAATCCGGTTGAGCTAAGGAATATGTGCATGCATCTGTCTATACATACATACATACATATCTAACTGTATATATGTATATTGACTTGAAATAGCTTTCAATGCGCTTCAATTGAAGCGCATGCAGAGACGAATCTTGCGACTAAGATTGAGACGGAGACCATAGTCTGGGACTGAGACTGCGACTGAGACTGAGACTCATTCTGGTTCACCTTCGAGAAAAGCATTGCAGCGGCAACAACTAATAACAACAACTAACAACAACAACTGCAACAAGAGCAACGTCAAACGTTTGGCAATGCGGCTGCTGCTTTTTGGTTTAGTTTTTCAGTTATTTATTTATGTTTGTTGTTGTTGCTATTGCTGTTTGTCTGTGAGAAATTCCCTTAATCAGCGCAGTCATTGCAACTGCCACACGGCGGCTGCAAACAAGAAAAGCCTAAATATGCTGCGACTGCCAGCTCCAAAAGGCAGCAGGTACGTCTGTCTGTCCCTCTCTCTATATGTCTGTCTGTCTGTCTGAGTTGATATTTCATATGACCATTATCATTAGGCGTTGGTGCTGCCATTTCATAATGAGCCCCAAACTGCGTTCAACCAATCCGAACTGAACTGTAATTAATATAGCGCCATGTTGTTGCTCATTTCCAATGGACTTGTGGCCAGAGTTTTATTAGTGCCTCAGACTCGATTCACACGCTGCCATGGATTATTATTTGTTGTGTGCTTTTCTCGTCGAATGCCCGCTGAAAATTCGACACGGGGCTGCCCTTGAGACGAGGCTGTGCAGACACAACATGTGCCATCAGCTCGAACGTCCGGATAATTTGGCTGGCCGCATTAACCTTGACTTTTAGCCGAACAGCAGCAGCTGCTTCTTGAAAATTGGTTTAGATACGTGACGAAAACAATAATAAAGTAATTATGCACCCACACACACGCACACACACTCTCATATTGCTGTTGACACTTGAGGCTGCCTCGCATCATTTTCTGCTGTCAGCTTTATGGAGCATTAGCTCTATTTAAATGGTTTTTTCTTTGCTGTGCTGCGTTTAGGTCTAATGTGGCCATTTTCCTCGTCGCTCTTGTGCTTGCCATAATTTATTAAATTTGTTACGAAATGCTTTTTTAATATAGGCTCGGGTGCTTAAGCCCAACGACTAGAGGCACTCATCAACTCAAGCTGGGAATTTTACTTACCTAGAACAATAACTCTGAGAATTATGGCGTCATTTTGTTATATTCTTATAAATAAATGTTATTTTATTTTGATTTATTTAAGCTCATTTTAATTGAAGCTGCATTACCTAGCTGTCCTTGCTAGTAGCTGAAGAGCTTCTGGGGTGGGGCGTTGACATTATTGAAGGCTTTTTGGCATATTTGAATGGGATCTAAAATCTGAATTGGTAGGAAATGATATTGTGTATATTAAAGGGGAATTAGAGAAGAGCAAAAAAGGAATACATCTATCTCTCTCTCTCTCCCTGTCCCTCTCTCTCTCTCTCTATCTCTCTCTCTCCCTCATTATTCTTATTCAATGTCAAGTATTGTATTTAAGAGCTCTTCATGTCGTAAGACCTCAGCTTCCTCTCATATATGTATGTATGTAGGCAGGAAGCAACTCCTAAGCATCTCTGACCCTCTACACATGCATTCAATGCAACTCTTACTGCAACTGCCAGCTATTGCAGCGACTGCCCAGTCCCAATTCACGACATATCATTAATTCACTCGGAGCGCGCATAATTCAAGCTTAAAATCCTACTTAAACAACTCCTAAACAGAGCGCAACTTGATAAACGCATTTCGAGTTCTTATTGTTCTGGTTTCAGCGCAGATTTTTTGTTGTTGTTGCTATTTTGCCATTTTTGGTTGTTTTTACGAGCTCCTTTGAATGGGCTCGTTTTCTCTTTTTTTAGAGTTTTGGCTCACAATGCAGCTGCAGTTAGCTGATTATTGTGCAAATAAAAGTTCTAATGATGATTTCGGCAACAACAATGCAATTATGCAAAGCAACATCAAGAGGAAGGTAATTAAAGGCAGTGCATACTAGTAGTAAAAAAAACAATAAGCAGAAGAAGACAACGAGATGTACAACCAGAATGAAACGAGGAATTATAATTATCGCGGCGCTGCAATCAGCAATGAATATGCTAAACAGTTGAGACGGGGCGAGTCGAGTCGAGTCGAGTCGAGTCGAGTCGAGAACATCCTATGTGGCACATGCCGCATCCGCCACACCAGCTGAAGCAGAAGCCGTTAACTCGCAGAGGGCAGCATCTACAGCAATACGATAGCCACATCCACTTCAGGTAGCCAGGTATTTGCGCA